TTGTACTTAAAGGAGAAAAGGAAAGAAGTGATGACATTTGTATTTTTAAGATTACTCTGGTTATTATGTGAAAGAATTATTGAAGAAGGCAAGAGCAAATCTGAAGAGTAACTACTACTATTTGCAGTAGTTCAAATATACATTGGAATAGAAAATGTAGAGATATAAAAGGTATTTGGTTCAAGATATAAGAAGTAGGTCAAAATCAAGAAAATTTGGTAACTTGATGGATTTGAAAGTGGAGAAAGAGGGAGATGTCTAAGCTGTTCATTATGTTTCTGCTTTCAGCCATCAGGTGATACCATTTACTGAGACAGCAATCAATAAAAGGAAAATATTTGTAGAAAGGGAATGAGGGGAGCTCATCAATTCAGATTCCATATGTTGACTGAGGATGTTGAGGAGATTTGAAGGTCTGAAGAGAAATATATACACATTTAGGATATCTCGTTAAATAAAAGAACTGATGCTGAATGTGAAGTACAGATCATTTAAGAAGAGAATACAAAGTGAGAAAAGAAGAATGCCTACATCTAAAGGTTTAGAGGGCTGAGGACTAGAACCTAGAAGTAGGAACCAGAATAGGAAGGAAAAAAAAACACAGATGTCTATGAAAGTGACTTTGTAAGAAAGAAGAACTGCTTAACTCTATTAAATACTAGTTATAGATGAAGTAAAGTGAGGAATTTAAAATGTCTGTTGAATTTACAACAGGAAGGTAAATGATGAAGGTAAAAATTGTGTTGCTGTTGTTACGTGCTGTCAAGTCAGACCTGACTCATAGCAATTCCTCCTTGGGTTTCTGAGGCAGCATCACTACGGAAGTAGATTGCCCCATCTTCCTTCCAAGGAGTGGTTGGTGGATTTGAACCACCAGCCTTTTGGTTAGCAGTCAAGTGCCTTAGGCACTACGACTTTAGGAAGTATATATACTAAAGTAGAGTGCTAAAGACAGAAAACAACCAAACAATTCAAGAAGTAAATGAATGAATGAGGGAAAATAGCTTCTTAGAAGGACCCAATAGAGAAAAGAGGTTCCATACACAAATGACATAAAAGTAGTTAGCAGTAATAAGTACCTCAGAATATGAATCAATAAAACACTTCCATAAATGTCCATTTTACATAGTTGCACTGACCTAAAATCTTCATCAACTCTGTTGAAACGTGTCTGTTCCTTTGGCAATGCTCCACGGCCAAAAATGGGTTCCAAATATACCCACTTTCTTTGAATATGGTTTAAATTCTGCAGGTACTCATCTAACTCTGCAAGTTTTCTTTCCCATACTGATACTTTATCTTCAAATCCTTTATAATAAGGAGAATCTTTTAAGGATTGAAGAAGGCATCTATTATCTCCAACCTGATTCACTATATCTTTCCAGTCTTTAATCAGTTTGATGGTTCGACTTTGGCTGTCTTCATAATCAATCAATGTAAATACTGCTCCAACTCCCCAGAGATCAAGTTCACGTAAAGCTTCTCTGATAGTAACTTCACCTTGTGCCCGACTATTTAAATCCTATTTAACACAAAACATCCATATTATTTCAACAGTAACATATATATAAATTGTAAGAACTGTATCTTATGAAAAAGACAGACATTTATACTTCTACTTCCTATGCTTTACTCTGGCTTTTCACCATAAAGCAAATTTTTAAAAAGTGGATATATTTTACACATAATCCAATAAAATTACTCACTAATGTATCAAGGTATATCTAGTTCACATTGCCAAAGCATATACAAAGTTCTGCCTTATTCTTTTTGCTTCTACAAAAGAAAAGAGAAACACAAAATTCAAAGCATCCATCATAAAATGATTTATTTAAAGGTTTGGAGACCAAAAGGCCAAGATGTTTTAGAGAGGAAGAGCAGAAATTTTACTGTAAACTCTGATACATCTAAAATGATTATCAGTTAGAATAATCACCACAGAAGTCATGTTTTATAATTTTTCATAATTACTTAAGTATGTTCCAGGATTATTGACAAATGTAAAGATTTATGTTTTAGATAGAAAACAACATAATTTGACATTTAGTCCTTATGTTGTTACACTGAATGGCCAGAAAACACAACACAGGAGAATTTGGCCACTTAACGACAGAGTTGCGAAAAGATCTGCTTTTACTGGAGAACTTTCTCAACCTGGTCAATAAATTGGTTCTCCATTTAGTTCCCTGTTGTTGTTGTTGTTATGTGCCATCGAGTCGGCCCCGACTCATAGCGACCCCTCCTTGGGTTTCCAAGGCAGTATCACTACGGAAGTAGATTGCCCCATCTTCCTTCCAAGGAGTGGCTGGTGGGTTTGAACCGCCAGCCTCTGGTTAGCAGTCAAGTGCCTTAGCCACTATGCTACCAGAGCTCCTAGATATATGTATTCCCTCCCTTCAATTTATAACATACCACATGATTTTTAAAAGTATAATTTGTACTTATTTCATTTTTAATTAAAAACATTCTCTACTTAAAAGATACTCTTTTATTTCATACTTCTCTTTTGGAATATTATTTGTTTCTATATTTCTATACACAGAGATAGACAGATTCAGATGTATTCCTAATGAGAGAATACTATAATAATGGAACACTGTCATTACTTTAAGGGAAGAAAACAATCTAACTTACTATTTTAAAAAAATAACAAAATAGGAAGCAAAGTTGTATACCAACAAAGATCATACTTAGAGGATACTTACTTTAAGATCTGAAGCTTTGGCTACAATTGTATTAGCTACTCTGAGCAGATCTCCAAATAGTAATTTCTCTAGACTAGTCCCCCTAGGAAGGCCAAGAAGGCGGAAAAGGTCAAGCCAATGATCTGGAGAAAGATGCTCCCCTCTGACATACTTCAAGATAGGAATTGCCATCTGTTAATAAAGATGGAAAACAAGTATTTGCAATCATGTATTCATAACCTTGCAAAATTTAAATTATTAATTACTTCATTAACTAATGAATTAACTAATTACTTCATTATTTTATTTAACAAACTGGAAATCACACTGTTAATCAGAATTGCACAAAACTTTTTGTTATTCATGGATACATGCAGATTTCCCTTTTCAGTTTCAGTTTAATGTGTTTGAAAACATGGCATAAAATATTTCTATTTTTATTAATCTAGGATATAACTCATGTTGTAGTAGGGTTGTAAACACGCTAATTTAAAACTTTAACCATAAATTTCTTCTGTTCTTTCATATTGGTGGTAAAAATACACTTCTACTTCCTATGCTTTATTCTATACTCCTAAGTTTTTCATGTAATAGAATATTAATTGAAAAATACAGAAATTGAAAAAAAAAGCTCAGTTATATTACATAATAAAAAGATACACAGAAGCTGAAAATTTTTATTTAGCAGAATAAATAAAACAATCATACTTTATACTTGTCAACTTCTGACTGTAATTTCACAGTCATTACTGAATGTTCCTCAACCTTCCTTAATCTGTCATGCCAATCCATCAAAAATTCCTCAAATAGATATGTCTTAGTCCTGTAAAATATCAGAAACACATCTTTAAATGCATATTCCAAAAATCACTATGTTATAACAATCTAAATATTATTTTTGAACCAAACCGGAAAGTAATCCAGTCTTCTTTAGCCATTTCTTGAAATCCTTGATAAAATTCCTCATAAAGGGCCCAGATTTGTGCACAGCTCTCAATATCTTTAGAGATGTTATATGCCAGGGAGAAGTTGGGCTCTTCTAATCCAAAATGATGACAATCATCACTATAAAAATAAATATTGAAATATTACTAGATTGTTTTAAAAAAAGAAAAATGTTAAATGCCAGTAAGTTGTTTAACTACATTCCTAGTATGTATATATTTAACAGTGGAAGTGGACAGTAGGGGACAACGCCAACTTTACGTGAGAATTTTATTTTACCTACTTAGGTCTGGACTCTACTAATTCATTAATATGTATTTTTTTCCAAGAGTCAAAATTGTGTTGGTAATACATAAATAAATGTGTGTGTGTGTGTCATCTAGTATGTATAATATGTAACATGCATTCTTTATATGTGCTGTTGCATATTCTCCCTAAACAGTTCCAACTTAGGGAGACCCCTTGTGTATAGAACAGAACTGCTCCACAGTTTTTAAGGCTGTGAACTTTTGGAAGCAGATTGCTAGGACTGTCCTCTGAGACACCTCTGGTGGGTTGGAACTGCCAGCCTTTAACCATTTGTGTCATCTAGTATGTAGAATATATAAATATGCTGGGTTGTAGAAGTCTATGGATTAATCTGAGAAGAGAATAATCTTCTTAGCTGAAAGGGTAAACTTCTCAAACATATCTTTCACCTAATAAGTGTAATGTCATTTAATAAATATAATACTAAGACCTCACCTACCTATGAAAGCAATTATTTTGGAGTATTTACCTAAGTAGACCAAACTTAAGTAGACAAAACAATGTTCGAATTTAATACCTTATATTATTGTGAGATAAACTGACAATATATATTTTTCTTCAAAATCTCTTTTTCATTTGTTCATTTTATTACTAGGTTTTTTTCCTCAGAGACTCTGAAAGTAATTTTTTCAAAAATTTTATATAGTCCATTTTAAAACAGGATGAGATAATGAAAAGCAAGTATCCAAATACCTTAATTTAACTTCTCAGTAAATTTAATTTTCTACTCTATTTCTATATCTAACCAACAATTTTCCTTGTTGTTGTTGTTGTTGTTATGTGCCGTTGAGTCAAACCCAACTCATAGCGACCCCTCCTTGGGTTTCTGAGGCGGTATCACTATGGAAGTAGATTGCCCAGCCTTCCTTCCGAGGAGTGGCTGGTGGGTTTGAACTGCCAACTTTCTGGTTAGCAGTTAGCAGTAAGCATAAGCCTTAGGCACTATGCTACCAGAGCTCCCACAATTTGCCTTACTCTTAATATATTTATATAACCCAATTGTAACTCCTAAGAAAGCAGTAGACCAAAAAACTCATTGCCATCAAGTCGATTCCAAATCATAGCAACCTCCACCGGGTTTCCAAGGTTGTAAATCTTTACAGAAGTAGACTGCCCCATCTTCCTTCTGAGAAGCTGGTAGGTTTGAACCACCAATCTCCTGGTTAGCAGCCAAATGCCTTAGGCACTATGCCACCAGAGCTCCTTAAGAAAGCAGTAGAATGGGCACTAATTAATATCTTCTATTTTAAAAACTGCTGAAGTTTCCAAGGGAAGACATGAAAATAAGAGACAAAAGAAAATACTACAAAAAAAAAAAAGGAAAGAAAATACTAGATTGGTTAAAAAAATATATATATACAATTAAAAAAAATGAGCATTATCAGTTTTAAAGAAAAAACATACACTAGCTTTTTTCTTATGTCTTCAAGTTCATCAAACTCAATTTTTTTCTCTTTTATTGACTTTGCACTTTTATCAAGAGTATTTTGCTGCCCAGTTTCAATGACATCATCACCAGGCTTCAGTTGATCCCAACGAGCTTTAAATTTTTCCAGTTCTTGATAGTAGATGTGAAGACGTGATTTTACATTTCCTTTCATTACTTCGATCTATAAGCAAATACAGTTTAAATAATTTAATGCAGAATTAAAATCTCACTTTATTTCCATATCTAAATTTTCTTTTTAAAAGTGAAAAAATACCAGTGTCAACTTTTCTAAAGATTATTTTTATTTTAACCATTGATTTTAAATGCAATAAATAATTCAAAGATATAAATTCGACTTCAAATTTAGAGTAACAGATAACCCTCAAACATTAGCATTAAAAAAATCATTCATGTGATTAACAGATCCTCCACAACTATCAACAAAGGTGGTATGATAGGAGAATATTTGTTCAGTGACTTCTGCTTTTTCTAGCTGGAATATATAGCTGCTTAACTGAGAAGTGCACTTTCTGGTCTCCCATATAGCCAGGGAACCAAATGCCCAAGTCTGGTCAATAGATGTGTACATCCTCAAGTCTGTGCCCTTAAAAGGTAGAGTGGTATCCTCCTCTTCATCTTTTCCACCTCCCTATTAGGTGGCAAGTAAATGTGGTAGTTATAAATCTTGGACAATACCTTAGTGATGGATGGTGAAGAAACAAGATTGAAGTAGCCTGGTCTCCCAACAAAGTTGCAAAGGAGAGGCACCGTATCAGCTTGAAATCTAACTTGAGACAAACCTGTCGAAGCTACTATTATCTAGGATCTCTATTAGAATAGTCAAATCAACTTCCTAATCAATTTAGTAATTAAAGAAAGAATATGACTTTCAGAAATCAATTTAAGCTGTACGTAGTAGATAAATCCATTAATAAGAAAGTGTGAAGTAAACTTAAATTCAAAGGGATTATTTTCTTCTTGCTATAGCAGGAAATGAAAAACTATGTGAAACAGTCATTAGTACAAGAGTACTAAGGCTGGTCAGTTTTATCAGCAATATAAAATTTCTTATAAATGTAAACTATTAAGGAATAAAGATAAGCAAGAAATTTTAAGTAAAGAAAACTAAGCTTCCATTTTAACAAAACCATTAAAAAGTTCTTACCTGATCTTTAATCATAAGTTGGTGACTTTCCATCATCAATTCAAATTTATCCCACTTAGCTTTCAGATTACTAATTGCTTCTAAACCTCCACCTGCCACAGTTCGTAAAAGTCTGTTTTTATCTTCAGCTTCTTGAAATAAGGGCAAAATCTAAAGGTTAAAGTGTAACATATGTGAAAAACAACTTCTTTTATCAGATCTCTCAACATTTCATTTATTTTAATATTTGATGATTTGTTTTTTTAAAAATCAAGATTTTTCTTTTTAAACAATTTATTAAATTCCTGAATTAAAAGTTTCTAATGCTCACTTATTATACACAGGCTCAACTAAAACATTAACATCAGCTATTAAAAGAGCTAAGAGGGATGTAATATGAGATTATCAGTGAAACTATGAATCCATATAGTCAGTATTACAGCTGTTGCAAATAGAGTTCTTTATAAACAGTCCATTGACAACAAAATGCTAAAGAAGCTTCTAAAACAGTTAATATTAGATAATCTAACAGTTAACTAAATTGTCCTATTTAACAGAAAAAGAAAAGTCATGAAAAAAAAAAAATACATAGAAAACTGAAGAAGTGAAATCAGCCCCCTACACTCAGGGTTTCTAACTCAAAAGCCCCAAGTACAGTTTGTTAAATAGTCTAGGTCAATAGGTGTTAAACTACTTGAACTACTTCTAAGTATTTTAAAGAACTGTTAAAAAAAAAAAAAGTGTCCTACATAATATCTGTACTTTAACTAGTCAACAAAGCAGTAAAATCCATTGAAAGATTTTTTAAAAAATCATTGTGTATACCTAATGAAATTGATAAAAATAAATCCAAATATATCTCAATGAACAGTTTATAATTCCTAGGCAAGATCAGTTCCATCTGATAAACAAAAAGGTAGACTAAGAAGCCATGATGTACTAGGAAAATCAGTTAAGAATAGAGGGAAAAAAACAGTAGGATAATAATTTCTCTCAGATGAACAAAACCTATGGTGAAAACATTAAAGTTTTCTAGACTACCTGCCTCGAGTCCTACTGCCTCAAATCCACATACCGACAGACTCATCAAAACACAAATCTATGACATCTTGCTGCTCAAAACCCTGCAATGAATTCCCAGTGCCCACAGAATCAAGCCTAAGATCCATACTGTGGCTCATGTAACCTAGATCCTGCCTGGTTCTTTATATTTATCTCATTCCACTCTTTGCCTTATGTACTACCATCTAATTATGTTGTTATTGTTGACGTTGTTGTTAGTTATCATTGAGGTGGTTCTGACTCATACTAACGTTACATATAACAGAATGAAACACTGTGACTTCCTGTGAGTTCCTCACAGTCGTTGCTATGTTTAAGCCCACTGTTGCAGCCACTGTGTCAATCCATCTTGTTCAGTCTTCATCTTTTTCACTGACCATCTACTGTACCAACCATGATGTCTTTCTGTAAGGGCAATCCCTCCTAACAACATGTCCAACATATGTGAGACAAAATCTTGCCATCCATCCTTCTAAGGAGTGTTCTGGCTGTACTGCTTCCAAGATAGATGTGTCCATTCTTGTAGTAGTCCACGATATGTTCAGTATTCTTCACCAGTACCATAATTCAAATACATCAATTCTTCTTCAGATGTCCTTACTTACTATTCAGCTTTTGCATGTATATGACGACTGCAAATACCACTCCTTGAGTCAGACCTCAGTCCTCAAAGTGTTATCTTTGTTTGCTAACATTTTAAAGAGGTCTTTTGAAGCAGATTTTCCAGATGCAATACAATATGTCTTTTGATTTCTTGACTGCTGCTTCCATGGGCAATGACTGTGGATCCAACCAAAATGAAGTTCTTGACAATTTCAATCTTTTTTCCATTTATCACAATACTACTTATTGTTCCAGTTGTGAGGATTTTCTCTTCTCTTTATATTGAGGTATAACCCATACTGAGGTACAATCCATACTGAAGCATTTCATAAAATAGTGCTTCAAGTCTTTGTCACTTTAAGCAAGCAAAGTCATGTCATCTACACATCTCAGATTGTTAATGAGTCTTCCTTCAATCCTAATGCTACATGCTTTTTCATACAGTCCAGCTTCTTGGATTACTTACTCACCATACACACTGAATAAGTATAGTGAAAGGTTATAGCTCTGACACATACCTTGCTTGACTTTAAACTATTCAGTAGCCCCTAGTTTTGTTTGAATGACTACCTTTTGATCTATGTACAAGTTCTGCACGAGCACAATTAAGTGTTCTGGAATGCCCATTTTTCACCATGTTATTCATAATTTTTTTATGATCCAGACAGTCAAATGCCTTTGCATCGTTGATAAAACACAGGTAAACATATTTCTAGTATTCACTATATTTAGCCAAGATACATCTGACATCGGCAAGATATCCCTCATTCCATGTTGTCTTTTGAATGTGGCTTGAATTTCTAGCAGTTCCCTGTTGATGTACTGTTATAACTGTTTTTGAATTCTTTGTAGCAAAATTTTACTTGCATGTGATATGAATGATATTGTTCAATAATTTCCACATTCTGTTGGATCATCTTTTTTTGGAATGGACACAAATATAAATCTCTTTCAATCAGTTGGCCAGGTAGCTGTCTTCAAAATTTCTTGGCATAGACCAGTGTTAACATTTGCTGAAACTTCTCAATTGGTATTCTGTCAATTCCTAAAGCCTTGTTTTTTACCAATGCTTTCAGAGAAGCTTGTATTCTTCCTTTAATACCATCAGTTCTTCACCAAATACTACCTCTTGAAATGGTTGATCGTGCAGCTGGCAGAGGACCAGGTGGTGTTTCATTCTGTTGTACACAGGGTCACTATGAGTCGGAGATGACTTGATGACATCTAACAATGAAATGGTTGAACACCGATCAATTCTTTTTGGTACAATGACTCATGCATTCCTTCCATCTTTTTTGATGCTTCTTGCATCATTCAATATTTTGCCCATAGAATCTTCAGTATTACAACTAGAACCTTAATTTTTTTTTTTATTCAGTTCTTTGAGCTTGGTAAATACTAAATGTGTTCTACCCTTTTTATTTTCTAACACCAGGTTTGTACATTTCATTATTGTACTTTATTTTGCCTTCTTGAGCCACCCTTCGAAATCTTCTGTTGAGCTTTTACTTCATTTCTTCCATTTGCTTTAGCTATTCTCTCTTTAAGAGCAAGTTTAAGAGTCTCCTCTGACATCCATGTTGGCCTTTTCTTTCTTCCCTGTCTTTTTAATGATCATTTATTTTCTTAATGTATGATGTCCTTGATGTCATCCCAAAACTCTTCTGGTCTTCAGTTGTTAGTGTTCAACGTATCAAACATTATTGTTGAGATGGACTCTAAATTCAAGTGGAATATACAGTCAAGGTCATACTTGGCTCTCATGGACTTGTCTTAATTTTCCTCAGTTTCAACTTGAACTTGCATATGAGCAACTGATGATCTGTTTCACAGTGGACCCCTGGCCTTGTTCTGACTAATGATTTTGAAGTTCTCCATCATCTCTTTCCACAAATGGAGTTAATTTGATTCCTGGGTATTCTATCTGGTAAGGTCCACATGTATAGTTGTTGTTTATGTTGTTGAAAAGAGGTACATGCAATGTATAATTTGTTGGTCTTGCAAAATTGTATCATATAATCCAAGGCCATCATATATCCAAGGCCATATTTTCTAGCTACAAATCCTTCTTTGTGTCCAACATTCACATTCCAATCATCAGTCGTTAGCAATGCATCTTGATTGCATGCTTGATCAACTTTAGATTGCAGAAGTTGGTAAACATCTTAAATTTCTTCATCTGTGATATTAGTGGCTGATGCATAAATCTGAATAATAGTCATATTAATTGGTCTTTCCTTTAGGTGTATAGGTATTATCACTGACAGCACTGTACTTCATCTCATCATACCTAACACTTATTGTTCCCCACATTCAACTTATATTTCTCTTCTCTTAGTTTTTGTGATATTACAATTTCATGATATTCCTCCCACTTCAGTAGCTAATAATTTTCCATCTTATTTGCTACTTCCTTCTATGCTTTTCCTTAAAATATTGGAATTCTCCAGCCTCTGTTCCTGGAATTCTCCAGACCCGCTACTGTTTAATATCTACTAGATGGTGTAATCCAATCTCATGGCTTTAAGTACCATGGACATAAAGATAATTTCCAAATTTTTATCAGTAGTCTTTCCTTTTATCATAAATTTCATAATCTGTATCCAACTTCTCAATGCCATGACTTCCACTCTCCAATCATGTTCCTACCTTACTCATTCTCAATTCAGTAAATGGTACTGTTAGCTTCTCAGCTGCTAGACCAAAATACTAAGAAACATCTTCATTTCTCTTTCCCTAACTCCTTCTGCCTATTGTATTAAAAGATCTCCTTAGTTCTAACTTTAACATGTATCATCAATTTCTCCAGTTATCTCCATCTCTACTGCTATGACATGACCCACATTCCCATTATCTCTAATCTGCCATACTGCAATAGCCTACTAGACTTCTGCTTTTGTCTCCTTCTAATCCATTCACCACAGAGCAGCCAGAGCTAACACTTCAAAACATAAACTACACTGTGTCACTCCCGTGCTTAAAACCTACTACACACTTCTATTACACTGAGAATAAAATCCAAACTCTTTATGACTATTTACAGTATTTTTATATCTGGCCCTCGCCTACCTTTCCAATTTTACCTCAGACCATTTTTTCCTCAATAAATTCTTTGGTCACCATCTTTCTATCTGTTCCTTGAACATAACAAGCTTCTTTCTTATCTTAAAGTCTCTGTATTTTCAATTTATTTGCTTAGAACAATCTGTCCCCAAATTTTAGAATAGTTAGCTCCGTCTTTTCTTTCTGGTCTCAGATTACATAGAATCTGAGGTAAGTAACATCTTCCAGTTGTGCCCATTCAAAGATGCTCCCTCTCTATCTCTTTCTCTCTCACACACACACGTACACAAATATGCACATTCCTAAGAACAGAGGTTGTTCACACCTGTAACTCCAATCTTTAGCACAATGCCTACTATCAGATGATCTATAAATATCTGTTGAATAAATAAATTCCTCTGTTTATGCTAAGTATCAAAGCCTATAATACCATTCCTTTTTTAGTTAATTCCTTCAATTAAGCATTTATTTTTAAAACTATCATTCTACCTTTAAGCCTATCATATAAAAGGGTGTAATTACTAACAGTATAGATATTTAAGTTTAGTCTTATTCTAGTATGCTATGTCACCCACCTAAGAAACCCAAGGAGGGGTCGCTATGAGTCGGGTCCGACTCGACAGCACATAACAACAACGTCACAAAATAGATTGCAAATATTTCTAAAGATACTAATAAGCATTTTTGTTACCGTTTCATTGTATCAGCACAGCATTAAGAATATAATCATGAACTGACCAGTTGGGTCAGATCATATGGATTCCTTTCTATTATTGAGATCATTTATTACCTCTAAAAAATCACGTAATTTAAATATTTCTAGTACAATGCAAATAATAATAATTATTTTGATTATTCTCACCTCTGGCTTCCGTTCTTGTAGCTTACTATATTGTAAATTTGCATCACCTATTTCTTCCACAGACTGGGGCATAATTGTTAAGACTTCCATAGCTTCAGTGACAAATGTATCAATTTCATGTAGATGAGCTGAGTGGGCAACATTGAAATATAAGAAATATTATTACCAGCAAAAATATTATATCAAAAATAAAAAAATTTTAACCAAAAAATGATTAAATTATATCATTTGTAAACCAAAGCATATTCCAAAAACACAAAATCTACTGCCATTGAGTCAATTCTGAGTCATAGTCACCTTACAGGGCAGAGTAGAACTGACCCATAGGGTTTCCAAGGCTGTAAATCTTTATGGAAGCATCTTTCTCCCATGGAGCAGCTAGTGGGTTTAAATCCCCAAACTTTTGGTTAGTAGCCAAATGTCTTAACCACTGCACCCCCAGAGTTCCTACAGAAGTAATAAAATACGGAAAATCTTATCATTTGCTTTCATACAACAAAATTTCAGAATGTGGAATGAGCAAAGAAAGTATTTTTCTATCAAAGTTCAGTTGTTTTACTTTGTACTTAAACATTTTAAAGAAAAAAAAATCAAAACTTATACTTTTTTAGTAAATTTTACTAAAAATTAGGAACTCGTTTTTAGTTTTTAATATGCTAAAACATTTCAGTTTTAAAAACTGGAAGAAAGGAAACAGTGTGGGATTTCAGAAAGCGGCACTGTCCTTTAAAGAAATAAGGAAAACTATATTATACCAGAATTATCTACCTTTGTCAATAACACATACAATAAGTGATACTAGCTCAGATTGCAAATAGGATGTCTTCAATTTTTAGATTTCTTAGGGATGAACACAGAATTTCTTACCTTATTAAAATTATCATTTTAAGCAAACTTTACTTCATAATACCTTCTAGTTAAGTTCTGATTTAATCATCATTGGGATTCATATTTCATAAACATCAAAGCCCCTCTATGTAAAATTAGATAAAAATAAAATAAGAAAACAAAAAATGTCTTTACCCTGGATGGATTTCCTCAAAGAAAGAACTAGTATATCAAATAACTTCTGGATAAGATCATCAATCACAGTCTTCACAGGGTTGCAGTTGATATTTAAACAATCCACTTTGACAACACTGAAAATGCCAATGGACATTTTTTGAGATGAAAAAGATTAATTAGAGGAAAACAACCTCATCACAATATTACAGTGATTTTAAATAATATATTTTATAGTCTAAGTATTATTGTGATCTTTAAGCACATGAATATTCATTTAAAACAATAGATTCACATGCACTATTTTGAAATTTTTCATTGAAAACTTATTTCATTGTAAAACTACAATTTTAAGGAAACTAGTGAATTATCTTTTTTAAAAAGTCACCACATTATGAATTACTAGGGTATCAAAATGAATTTATCTAAATATTTAGATGTGTTACTTGTCACAGCATATAATTTACTGAGTTAAAAATTTATAAAATAAGCTCACTATGTTACAGCCAAAACACGAATCATAACAATAAAGGAAAAAAAACAGAGACAGACAGAAAGTGAATACAGGTTATTAAAACAATGATACTATTTTATACAAATCAAATTAACAAAAATTTAATGAATTGTTCAGTTTTATCTTCAAGCGTGTGAACAGACAACTCTCAGCACAATAAGTAAGAGTATGAAATAATAAGATCTTTGTGAAGAGCAATGTAGCCCACTTTCTTTATGCCAGTACTTGCTTTAATCATCAAATACACTTATTTTATTGCACTACCAGAGAGTAAATGACTTGACTTCAGGTATTATGTCTTTTTCATTGATAAAAATACCCCAGCCATCAAGTCGATTCTGACTCATAATGACCCTATATGACACAGTAGAACTACCTCATAGTGTTTCCAAGGGTGTAAATCTTTACAGAAGCAATCTGCCCCATCTTTCTCCCATGGAGCAGTTGGTGGGTTAGAACTGCCAATCTTTTGATTAGCAGCCTAATGCTATAAACACTGCATCACTAGAATTCCTGAATACTCCCCAAAGCAAAAGTTTTCATGTTATAAATGTTCACCAAATATTTGTTGAAAGAATGAGCAAATGGATAAAAGTGATATGATCCTTTATAGGTAATATATGCACATTTAAACAAGGCTTTCCATGGAACATATTGCAAAGAGTACTTCCAGTGATAAGAATCTCAGATAGCAAGGGGATTTATTCTCAAGTAGCTGGACTATGAGATGACCCCTCAGAGGGTTTCATCCACCTTTATGGCAATAGCTAGAAGTAATAATATGGTATGTGCCTCCCAGGGCATTCTGAAAAGTAGTAGAGCAGTATAAAAACCAAACCCACTGCTGTCAAGTCAATTCCAACTCATATTGACCCCTTTGGGTTTGTGAGGCAGCACATCTTTACAGAAGTAGATTGCCCAGTTTTGCTCCACAGAGTGAGCGGTGGATTTGAACCACCAACCTTCTGGTTAGCAGTCAGATGCCTTAAGCACTATGCAACCAGAGCATCTGAGAGCAGTATAAAAGCAAAGTCAAATATCATTAGCTTTATATCCTCTAGCATGTTCTCTCCAGTGGCTTCCAGCCATTCTTGGACTATAAGCATGCATATCAATATTACATCCTCACACCATATCTGTATAGAAGCTTCTTTCCCCAGTCTATTCTACCCAAGTGGTTGTCAGGCAGCAGAGGCACTAAAAGAGAAACTTTTATTCTCTGCATTGTTCTGATAAGCTAGCTCTCAAGAGTCCTGAGTTCTAAAGGAGGTAAAAAGCTAGCTTGACTTCAATACCACTAAGTAGATAGCACCCTTACAATCCAATGGCAAAAACTCTTATGGTGCATAAGTACTATATCAACCTTCAGTACCTTGGAAGTCGTTCTACTTCTTTCCCTTTTATTTTCAGTGCTTTAAAATTCTTTTCCCAATCGTGTACAGTGAAAAGATGTTTTTCCACTAAAGCTTCCATATCAACTTGCCCAATTACAATCCATTCCTATTTAAAGAATGAAAAACATATTATTAAAGAAAAAGACCTCAATAAGTCAACATTCAAAAGATCAGGATTCAATCATTAAGAGCAACAAAAAAGAGGCAAATGTGAGGTATTCAAGTAAATTTTAATTTATGTAAATGTGATCATTACTGCATAGCCTAAAGACTGAACAACAACAAAATTAAACTAATATGGAAAATGCAGTGGTCATAAAACTTGTTTAAGAAGGCAGTAAAAACCCTTTCTGTAGATTGTTTTCTCAAATTAGATACATATAAAGTACAAAGACTCTGGTAGCATAGTGCCTAAGGCACTTGACTGCTAACCAGAAGGCTGGCAGTTCAAACCTACCAGCCACTCCTGGGAAGGAAGACTGGGCAATCTACTTCAGTAGTGATACTCCCTCGGCAACTCAAGGAGGGGTTGCTATGAGTCGGAGCCGACTTAAAGGCACATAACAACAAAAGTACAAAGACCGAATCACTTCTGCAAACCCAAGAGCCATTACAAGGTACAAATCTGAAAGTATCCAGGTTAGCATGAATGATTCTAGAAATCTGTAATGCAAAAGCCTTGCAGTGGCAGTGAAGGAAGTGGCCAAATTCTCAGTCATTTGTCCCAGAATCAATACAAACAAAGAATACTATTCATGTTTTATCTGGAGTTAGTTGGCATGATGCCCTTAAACAGAAGTAAAGAGTTAAATTATCACAGTTTCATCAACATTTGAGGGCTTGTTTCATGGACTGCATTTGACAAAAAAATTTTTAACAAAAGATATATTTTCCTGAGAGGAATTAAGATTGACACAACAGAATCATGTCACATTGCCACATTCCAAGCTGACACAAGTTAAAATGGGGGGAAAAAACTAGTTTCTCAATCTCCACAGACTTGTCAAATACCAAATAATTTCAAATAATTTTAATTTTTTCTCTCATCAGTGACATAAATCTAGGTTATATAAGAATCCTCACCTCTGGCTCTCTGGTTCATCATAATGTTTATTTTATATCATAAAAGATAAAGTACCAATTTGTATACTTAATGTTAATTCAATCAATTAGATGAAATATTAAAATGAGAGGACTGAAAATTACATGTTCTATAGCTCTGGTAGCATAGTGGCTAAGACACTTGCCTGCTAACCAGACGACTGGCGGTTCAAACCCACCAGCCACTCCTC